TGTACTGACTGCATATTGCATTATATTATGGACTACTGATACTAACTTGTCATATCATAATATGACCAATTATTTCATTTATATTCACATAATATTCTTAACTTATTAGAACAAAAGCTACTTTAATAGTAAATATTAATCTTATTTTCTTGCTCAGTGTCACAATGTTTCCTTACAACAAGAAAGAAGCTTTGAACAATAAAATTTTAACACAAAAGCAAAATGTACAGTGCCTACCAACAAAGTGGAAATTGATATTTGCAATTTGAAAACTATGAACATTAACACAGCAGAATTATTTTGTAATATACAAGAACCTGTCATTTCAGCAGACAAGATTTCTTTTTTATCGCTAGGATGCCAGGGCACATTGGGGCTGTATAAGTTTCTACAAGTCATACAAGTGGCAAGAATCTTTTTGAGTGATATCTTTTATTGGACCAATTGTATTGCTGGGACAAAGTTTAGAAAAGCTTTCAAAAGCTTTTGAAGCATTCTTCTTTATGTCTTATAAGCATTTAAGCATGCTAGTAGTCCTACTGACTTTAAAAAGGATGGGGTCTAAAAAGGAGACAAATCACAAATAGGTGGGAGTAAGTGATGAGGGTTTTGAATCCAACCAGAGTAATTCAAAGAGATGAGCATCCATAAATGTCTTCCCACAGAATGCATTTCAGTTTCGTTATGAAGAGCTGCTTTAAAAAGTAAAGAATTTTTGTCATTCAGAACTGTGCAATCTATTTGAAGCTCTTTCATGCCGTTTTAATGGTTGTTATTATAAGGCTGAGCTAAGATCCTGAATTTCAGAATACCAGCTAAAAGGAAGCTTTTACTTTTTCCTCTCAAATCCACCCTGTCTGCACTCTTTATTCTCCCTGACAACTCAGCCCACAGCTTTGGGGTCGTCTTTGACTCCTCTCTGCCTTTGCATTCTCATCCATGTGCAACTCCTGTTACTTCGCCCTTCACTATATCTCCAATCTTTGACCTCTTGTCTTCATCCAAACAGGTAAATCACTGGTCCATGCTATGGTCATCTCCTCCCTTGATACTTTAGTCTTCTCTTCAACCTTATGGTTACTAACTTTTTTTCCAATTCTCTTATAATGTGGTTGCCAAAATCATTAATGTCCCTGTCACTGCAGCCAAGTCACTCTCTTTTTATAGTTACCTCACTGGCTCCCCGTGGGGTTGCCCATCAAGTACAAACTCCACTCCCCCTCATCACATAGCTCCTGTCTACTGTGTTGCTGACCTCATCACTTTTTGTGCTCCTTTCCAGCTGCCCCTCTGAGCTAAAAATGCCAGCCTGGGTAAGCCCTGTGTCACCTCCTCCATCTATTTCCAAACATTGTCATGCTTTCTTCTGTACTGCCTTTTCAAAACCTGTGCTACAGTCTTCATCCCTACCTCACCTGGTTCACATCTACAAATTTAGTTACAAAAGCATAACAGGGTAGCTTTGCACCTTGGGCAATAGCAGCACAGGGTAGCAGCAGTCACCTTTCTGCCAGTGATGTTGGCATGGCCAGCTGTCAGCTTTGGAAGTGGCTATTTTTGGGCCTCCCTGTAAAAGCAATGTCCAGGGCTGATATCCCAGTCACCTTCCCCACTTAGTTACACTACTGCTCACCTATATGGCACAGCTTAAAAAAATTATAGTGTTTATCCACTAATTAAAAAAAAAAGAAATACTCACTCAAAACACATGACCTATGATGCATTTGTGTGCTTGCCAGAGTGAACATGTCATCACATCTCCATAATCAAGGTTCTTCAGTTTTTTTGCTCTTTCTGGTCTGCAAGGTCTGTCGTTTACACTAAGCTGCTTGGTGCAGGCTGGTGCACAACACTTAGCAGCCTCATGGGTGCTATAAAATAACAGCACAGCAAGTTACATGATTATTCATGTCTTTAAATATCCAAGTTTCACATGTGTTAACACTACTTCAGGCCAAAGGATTCCATGATCACTCTCGGCCAGAGAGCAAATCAGAGGCAGAAGTAAGAAGAAGTGCTGTGAAGAAACAAACATCCTCCTCCCAGCTTCCCCAGAAAAAGAGGCTTCTGGACTCCGAGGTAAATCTAGGCGGGTTGGAAAAGACGAACCATGCACAGGGAATCACAGGATGCTAGGAATCCTTATGAGACATTGCACCTCTTCAGCTAGCTGTCATGGGTAGCGGAGGTTAAAGCAGGAGAAAAGGCATATCACAAGTATGTATATATCAGTGTTGGGGATACGTGCACTAGCACATACACTTGCAGCATTTTCTTCCAGATCTTAAAGGTCTGTTTTCACATTCTTTTCAGGCAGGATGGTATCATGAGAGCAGTGGTCATTTCAACAATATCCATCATTTGCCATGCAAGGAAGGCCCAGAGAGATTCAGTATCGTTACAGACACCAGCTTTCCTATTGCAACTCAGTCTTACTCTTCATTTCAAAATACAGATCCTTACAAAGTTACTCATGACTCTATTAGCTTTCAAGGGGATATGGTGTCACCCTACCAAAAGTGTCCTAACCCAAGGATCTTTGTGCCTCGGCCTTGTGGCTATGAATTTGGAGTTCCTGCCTACATAAGTTCTAGCTCCTATCCAACACTTTACAAAGATTTGACAAATACCCCGGATGATACTGACCATGTTAACTTGAATGGATCTCAACATACTGGTTATTCCTTGACTATGCATGACAAAAATTTTGATAACACTGACAGACATCATGGACTGAAACAGATGATGGGGAAAACTGGTTACGGAGACAGGAGTGACTACGGACAGATTCAAGCAAACGCTAATCATCCTTATTATAGCGGGGAGTATCCTTGCAGATATGGTAGCAATTCCACTCCATCAACCCCAGCTTTACAAACTGTTATCACTACAACCACAAAAGTATCCTACCAGGCCTACAAGCCCTCAGTAGTGAAGTACAGTGATAATATATGTGATGTAAAAAACCTTCAGAATTGCAGCCACATTGCAGAGAACCTTTCAGGAACTGTTTACCCAGGGATAAAGATACAAGAAGACTGTGGTGTTCTCAAATCGGCTTTGCTTTGCCAGCACGATACGATTTCCACAAAGCCAGAAAGAGTGGAGACTATGGATACCTATCGGTATGGGCCAACCCTGGCAAACAATTACCCTGAGCATGAAGGACAGCTATTAAGATTTGAAGGTGGTGAATACTAGCTAAACCCACATATTCTAACACAAACCTTTGGCATGCTGAACCCTTTTGAATAGGAGTTTGAGGAGCAGAAAGCAAGCAGTGCATTAAGACTATTTACTTATTCCCTGATGATGCTTTTGCAGGGATCTGATGACTGTCTCAAGTCCTCTCTATGCAAAGTTCAAAGTAGTCCTTATCTAACACAGCATATTAGAATGCAAAACATAGGCCCACACTGAGTAGGGGTAGGGCAGGGGTTATGGCAGTGATTCTCAACCAGGGTGTTATGACATCCTGGGGAGTCTTAAGGTCCTTTCAAGGGTGCCATGGCGTGCTGCACAATGTTAGCACTGTTAGGGGTGCAAGCATGATTCATAAGATAAAGCTAGAGTTTTCACATAGAAATCCAGAGTATTAAAAGCATTCTGACATCTTGTGATCTTTTTTACTTCTTTGTAACAGAATAATTGCTCTACTGCTTTTCTGTTATTAAAAAAAATGAGTGAAAATCAAGAGCTGGTATTTTCTGAAGGGTGCCTCAAATCTAAGAAAGTTGAGAACCACTAGTTTGTGATCTCCCTGAACAGAGGGGCTTAATCAGTCTCTCTTCCCAACTACTAAATCATTTTCAAGGTGGGGTGCACCACCTGTAATTAATAACCTTCAGGTAATGAAAATATAGGTGGATAAGACCTGGAAAGCAGCTGGTGGCTAGAATCACTCTGCAGTATCTTTGTGCATTTAGTAAGTAGGAAACACTAGTTAGGTTTCTCTGAAGCAAGAAAAGGAAAGCAGTTTCTCTAAAATTTATTCTTGCCTTCTTTCCTGTGTCAAGCCTACAGGCTGCCTCTGATCTTCCCATAGGGAAGAACAATTTAGATATGGCCATGATAACTGGGATCAACAGTTGATCCACAGGTTGATACTTCACATAGGACAGGAAGACTTTATTATTTTGAGTTAAATATGGTTTTCCCAATGGATCCCACAAATGTGTTTTTCTTCTTGACTTCTGCTGTGGCCAGCTAGCACTGTGCTCTTGTAATAGCTGCACAAATTATTTTGAAAAACCATTTACAATGAGACTCATCCCAGTCTAGACTGGCCTGGGCAAGGCACCACAAATACATGACCTCCAGGTAGCATTATAACCAATCATTACATTTAAGAATAAAGAGGGGGAAAAAACAGTAACTTACCTGTTTAACAATACATATCATCATAAACATGTTACCCTCGCCCACACTTCCCTTGCACTCATTTCCTCAAAAATGCAGAGTCAATTGAAACTTCCTTTTCTCCATGGTACATCTACTCCCTGAGAGATCACTTCTCTCTTTGGGATCATAGCCTCACATGACAGCTATGTTCTATTGCAGAGTGAAGTAAGTCAACCAATCAGGGAAGTCATGTGAGGGCAGGTAGCACAACTTTCCCAGGATTGAGAATGAAATAAGGGATTGACTCCAAGCCCCAGATCCTATAAATTAATCAAACAATTTCTCCCATACATTTGTTACTACAAATTCTGTTCTTAAAAATGTTGGGAATACTTTACTACTATAGTAATGTGGGATCCACCAGTACAGAGAGAGAGTAGCATAATCTTAACAACAAGCCTATTAAACATAGTTTGGTTGAAACCAGATTGAATTCTAATACAGACACAGGTCATTTATTTACACTACTTACCAAGTATCTCTCAAAGGGCAATTTTTTAAGAGAGAAGTATTTTGAAAAATCCTTTTTTGTGTACATTTTTCTATTTTTGTGTACATTATGTCTAGATATACAGAAATATTCTGTGCTATAAACAAATGCAAAGATGTGGGTATAACAAAAACATATGGAAACTGGTTTGACCAGTTGCCTTACTGGCTTCATCATGTAGGAAAATATATGTTGCAAATTCTGCAATCAAACAAGTAATCAGAAATCTTAGTTAGACAATGGGATGCACTGTATACCAGTTTCTTAAAGTATCCATTTTTTCCTGAAGTCTATTTTGTGTTGTATTTTTAATAAAATCTGAGGTTTTCCAAATGAAACATCAAAATTAAGTTTCTAAGCCAGTATTTGGGCACTTTGATTACCCAGCAGCTTCCACTGGTTTCAGTGCTGGATGTGAACGTTCTGAACATCATGACATTAAATTATATCCATGATGTTCAAAGGCAATTAAAGAAATTAGTACCCAACTTCTACCAACTCTAAGTGAGAGGTGTTGATCTAACTCAGTTCTTTGAAAATTGCAGACTAAGCCATATGGATTTAGGATCTTGACTTTAGGCACTTGCTTTAAAAATTCTTGGCCATTGTACATTTGACGTCCTTCCATCAGGCAAAAAACCTGGTTTGGATACCAATATATATCCCAGTCAAATGAAATAGATGAGTCACCATCACAGAAAGACTCAGCCCAAAGTATTGTACTACTGGAATATACAACAATGAATTTGCTTTACTAATGTGGGGCTTCTCACTTCCACAACTCATAGACATGGAATCATTTGGGATTTGGAATTAAACCAAATGACACTTTTGAATTAACTTAATACCAGAAAAAAAAGCATCAACCTTCCAGCTTCCCAGCTAACCATTGGTAACTAAAAAGAGCTTCAAGAATCCAATACACTCCAGAGAAGAACTAGGTGTGTTGCTGGAAGAGAACATCTGCAGCAGAGGATCAAATGGGGAAAGATTCTCCCAGCACTAATGCTCTCTCTGTCCTTTAGTGGGGTTCTTAGGCAGGACAGACTCCCTACCCACATCCTCTGAAGAAGGAAGTGGATCCTTCTTTCTCTAGCTTTTTTAGGAAAAATAAAACAGGATCACGTAGAAATTATTCCATAAACACATGGAGTTTTATAGAGTGCAAAAGCCTGCCAATGGGATGTTTTTAAACAGCCTCAGGAATTCTATTTCAGGGATGAAATTTTGCCTTGAAGTGTATAGAGGGTTTTAGTAACATGAATAAAGAGGTTACAACTTTATTTTGTTTCTTGCAGCATTTTTATGTTACCTAGGCTGCTGCCTTTTGCAAGTAGGCTTTGCTTCCCGAGGAGTCCCTCGGCCAGTCCTCAAGTAACACAGTCTTTAGGTGACAAACAAACCACCAAATCAGCAAACAAAACAAAATCCCTCTGCCCTGTCCCAGGCATGGAAGGATGAGCCTTTTGGCTCTGGCCCCCTTCTTATAGCAAGCAGTTACATTCACAGCATACTTACTCTTTTCTTGTTTACTCTTCTGGGAGCTTTTTTAATCTCCTAGAACAGTGGCTTTCAGTATCTTTTCATTTGTGGATCCCTAAAAATTTTTGAATGGAGGTGCAGTGTCCTTTGAATTGTAAGTGTGGGTATTCACATACTTTTGATTGATCATAGTCATCTTTTGTAGATTCCTTAGACATAGTCCGTAGATCCCCAGGGATGCATAGACCACAGATTGAAAGCCACTGTCCTAGAAGGACACTCCCTGCCTATCCAAATGCCCTGCAGTTAGGCTATCTCAACAGAGCTAACTGTTCCCTCTTAAAGGGACAGACTACCCTGTTTCAGTTTTATTGGAGGAACTGGTCTTTTGTAGCTGAGCAGCCACACTCTGTTTTGAACATATATTCTTTCAATTTGAAAAGATATTTGAAAAACTGATATTTATTATTGTACTTAACATGATTATCACCAAAGATTAAAAATACTGTTACTACTTATATGAGAGGAGGGGTTTTCTGTCTGGAAAGGCCAGTCTGTCTACCTTTTTTCCCTTCTCCAAAATCATTCCACTTAAGTCCAACAATAACATTTGAAGTAGTAAAAATAAGCTATGCCTCAAGGATGAGTTATTGCAACATTTGTCAGCTTAATTTTTCCTCTCTTGTGACATATGCAGTAAGTAACCATAAAGTAAAGGAGCTATTAGGTCCAGCCAGAAGGGGCAAACTATTTCTGCCAGTAAAACCTGAACTCACAAAAAGCCCAATCTTGTCAAGATTATCTTAAACAAATAAACATGTAAATTTTGTTGTTTCTCTATTTACTTTTTTGCATGGGACTCACTTATTAGTAATAAATTCAAGAATTGTTTAGGTTGAATATAACAAGTTAGTGTTTGCCTTATGGTATCATCCCATGTGATAGACCCAATGAAAATATACTGGAGATGTTGCAGTCATTCTTCTTTGTGATCATTTTCATGTACAAATATCAGGGACAAAATATCTGAATGTCAACTCTTTGGATCAAAGAACATGGGAAAGATAAAACATGCTCCCCTATGTGTTTTTCCTTCCAAAATAAACAACGAAAGAAGCACTGCCGCCCCTACTGCAGAAACCTGAAATCAAGTATCTACCTGCTTGTTTATACATTTGCAGAATCAGCTTTAAAAGCATCTCTCTCAGGCACAGCAGTATCAAGGAGGGAGCAATAATGTTACCCTTCAGTTCCTATGTGAGCCTCTCCTGTTCTATTAATCATCCAATTAAAGCTCAGTTTCTGGTTCTGCCTCAAGCCGATGAGATGATTGCTTCATTAGCCCCCATTACAATTTATTTCAGATATCTTTGTCTAGCAAATTCCTGTTATTGTAACAAAGCTCTAGAAACCAGGAGCTTTTAAGCATCAGCCACCTGTGGCTCCAGGTTTAGATGAACTACCAAGGCATAAAAAGTGTAAAAGTAAAAAAAAAAAAAAAAAAAAGGGCCAGCTGTCCCCATATCAAAGCTGGCCTTTACATGAATCAAGGTGGTCTCTTAATGGCAAAGTTTTGAAACCTCAGTGTTAAATGGATCTTCCTCAGAAATTTCAGACTAATGGCTAAATGGTGGTGACAAGATGCGTCCAGCCAGCTGAGTTCTCCTTCAACTTGATTTCCATTTTTCCTAAACCACAGAGACACCCTGCTAATATTTGTAAGGAATCATGCTGTTTACCACAGTAATGTGCATACTGAACCTTATTGGATGACTACACTTCAATGTTGAGTTTTGATCCATCTAGTCCTATTGCTATCTTCAGTGAG